AAAAAAAAAAAAAAAAAAAAAAAAAAAAGAGCAACTAAAATAGAGGCAAATTCCTTACTAGTTAAAAAAACCCAAAAACCTAAGCCTGTATAACTGCACTAGGCTCTCTAAGTCAATACAATGTAACATATACTTATTGCCTACCATATACAAAGCACTTACCCAGGTACTGAAAGATACAGAATTAGCACAAGTACTTAAGTTATTATCACATATATATGGTAGAATCCTTGTCTTCAAAAAGTTTCTGACGTTAAAAGAAATAAAACTAACATACACATGGGCTAAAGTTTTGTCTTGAGTTATGATGCCCAAAAGTAGCTTATATTAACTTTAACATCGTTTCCAAAATCCAGTTTTCAAATGTATCAGAACTTCGAGAATCAGCAAGTAAACTTGCAGCCTATTGCTGAGCTCTTAAGATGAAAATCCACTCCTCTTCATATCCATCAATAAATGGTCTACCCTACCACTCACTATGTCATCCTATTGTGACTCGAATACCCTTTTACCTCATAAGTGCCCCACATAGGGCTAACATGAAACTTCATCCGTGACTTAGTGTTAGGTCCCAGGATGGGCGACAGCAGGTTAAGGAAATCAATTCACCTACGACTTACCTAAAACTATACACTGACTTTACCAACATCTTTCTGGTCTATTTAGAAGAAAACTTTCTAAGTAATTAAGAGTCTTTCTTTGTCCGGTGACAGTGAGGGCCACCAAAGTAGCCAATTTTTGGTAGAGACCCCCACACTTAAGAAAGAGCGATCAGCTCGTTTATAAGACATCGGGGCGCTTCAGTTCAGGATACCCGAGTTATTCCATTTCTCTATAGATATTTGGGTGGGGTCTCAAGGCAATTCACTAACTCCGCTATCCCTTGAAACGCCCACTCACAAAAAAATTCATCCCCCTCCCCACTTGGCTGGGGATGGAAAAAGACGGGAAGGTTAGATTAGAACCATGATCCCCAGCTGAGAACTTCTAGCCTCTGAGCTTTAAAGGGGAAATGGAAGTGGGTTCCGTAGAAACATCCGCAGGACAGAGGGGAAGGGAAATGAAACCGAAGCTGGAGTATCTCCCCGTCTGCTCGCAAAGGCCTGCAGAAAGAGGCAATCCTGACTCCCCTAAATTGATGCCTAAGGTTGCCCCGAGCTTCCCAGCCAAGCACCACCATCTTTCCCCTCTGTCGGCGCCTCCTGCCCGCCTGCGGGTCTGCGTGGACCCCACGCGGGGGCGCACGTCCAGCGGCGACCGAGGGGCACTCAGTACCCGAGCGGGCGCGATCCCCACCGAAGCACACGCTCGTAGCACTAGGCAGCAGCACGCGTTCTCTGTCTTGTCGCTGAGACTGTTACCTCCGCCTACCTTCAGAGGAATGAGAGTCCCGCAACCCTTTCCTGGTCGTAACCGGAGAAGACTGTACTGGAGACTCCTGTGTGTGCTGCTGCCGCAGCCGGGTAGCCCTTCGAGTGTTCATCTGCTCGGTTTCTTGGGGTCGCGGATGCCTCCGCTGCCTAGACCGAAGGTAGTAGGCGCTTTCTCTCACTTCCTCTTTCGCACCATCGGGCCGGAACGCTTCTAGCGGGGCTTGTTTCCCCCCCGGGGACCTTTCTTTGGTCACCCGGGGCTCGAAGTCGCCGTACACTTCTGGCGGCTCCTCTGAAAACCTCACTTCCCGCCGGCCCTGGCGCGGCGGAGTTCCGTACGCAGGCGCGCCACTGCCGCCGCCATTTTGAGGGGCGAGCCGGGGCCTTCCCTCTCGGAGGGGGGCCCTGGGCGTGACGGACACGCTCCATCCTTCCCACACCGGCTCCGCCCGCTGCCCCTCGCCCGCCATAGTTGTTGACGTAGCTTGAGTCGATCGTGAAGGTGGTTTTGTGGTCCCTAGGTTCTCCTGCCGGCGGTGACGATGGCTTCTCGGGGTTGTTGGGCGGTAGTCACGGTGGTCAGGGAGGCAGTTGAGAGTCGCCGAGGCCGCCGCCTGCGTCGTCGCTGCTGTGTAGCAAACCCGCCTCTGGGCCCATGGTGTGTCTTGAGGGCTGTGGGAGAGGCAGTGCCGGGCTGGGTCAGCTGCTGTGGGTCACTCCCGCCTCCTGGCTGGAGGCTCCAAAGAGGAGGAGAAGGGGGAGGAGGACATCGCTGCCCTGGGCCTTGAGGAAGGGAGGGGTGGGAGCGACCGACGGGTGGCGGGGCAAATTGCCTGACCTAAGTCCAACCGCTTGCGACAAGTATTGCCCTCGCTCCGGAGTCGCCCGTCCTGGCCACCAGCACTGAGTCTCCGGGGACGAGCGAGTGAGACGAGGGCGGAGAAGGCCGAGTTTCAGTTCTCGGCCCCAGACTTGTTGCGCATTTCTCCTGGAACCTAGCCCCAGTGGTCAGAGAAATAAATAGCCTTTAGTACCTGTCATTTTTTCACGGCAAACTTTTAGTTTGAAGTGCCTTATGAAGGCAATTGCCCAGTTTTAAATGTTAAGTCACCTGTTGAGGGTGTATAAAATTTTGTTCTACTGCCATGCTCATGGGATGAATTTCAATTTGCGAAATGTGCTCATAGAAAACAGAACCCTGTTCCTGGAATTTCATATTTCCTGGTCCGGAAAACCGTGTTAACGCTGCGTTATGCACAGTGATAAATGAAGAAATACTTTTGATTAAAAGGCAGCTTTGTAATTTTAAGTTGTGGACCATTATTTGTACTTTGATTCTGGGTATGACTTGATGTACTGCATTTAATTTATGGTTCCTGCGTTTAGTTTACGGAATAAGAAACCATAAAAGCTGTTTTCTGCAACTTGACGTATCACGGTTGTAGATGCGAGTAATCTGCAAATGTTTAACCAAATTTAGACGAGTTGAGAGGAGGACAATTAAATGTGAAGTCTGAATAATTATTGAAAGAAAACAGTGCTACCTCCAACAACTTGTCTTGTCTATGATTTCGGTGAATAGATTTAAAGAATTGCAATTTGGATACCAGTTACAATGAATGATTCTGAGAAAGTTGAAGATACTTGTTGGGAATGTTTTTGAGCAACTCATTTGTTGCTCAAACCTGGCACAAATTTCAATCACTTAAGTCTCAAAAGTCTTAATGTGTACTATGTTTTCACTAATAATCCATAAATTTGGCCACAAATACAAGAATTATATGCTTAGAGTCAGATCGATTTTGGCCCGTTAAGAGATTCCTTTTGGTTTGTTTTACTATATGCAGTATAGCAAAACAAACGAAAAAACAAAAGCAGTAATGAGATACTGTAACTGTTCTCTTTTTACCCAGTCTTCTAAAACAGAAAATGAAAAGAGATACTGTCTCTTGTCACCCTTGGCTAGATGGTATATTTGGAAAATTTGTGAAAAACTTTTTGACCAAATTCTAAAGTAAGACTTGGTGTTTATGTTTATATTCTTGGTAAGACCTGGTGTTTATTTATGTTTTAAGTAATGCTTTCTCTGTAAGGTGGCTGTTACATTACTCATTAGAACACATAATAGTAAAAGTTTCTTAATAGATGTAATTAATGAATATAAATTTTATGGTATTAATATACTGTACTAAGTTCATATTGTGAACATTCATGCATATTAAGAGCCCACACATTTATGAGGAGAAGTGACTGTAGAAATTTGGATACTGGCTTGTAAAACTTGGATATAGGCTTGTAAAACAGGTTTGAGGGACATATTAAAAAAGAAAAATAAGTTCTACATATTGAATAATCAGTACTTGTATTATTTCATTACTAAAATGCTTATAAAGGCTTAGTTATAGCTTTTCCTAGAAATGAATAGTGAGACTCTTAAAGTAAAATCAGAAGCATGGTAACTTTAATGCTAACACATATATTTGCTCAGGATTTTTTGTCTAGGTTGTAAGAATAATCCTACCATGACTGTCCGCCACACCTAGCAACCTTATATATATCAAACGTTCATCACTCACTGTGAGGCAAAGCTAAAGCTTTGTCAAACCAGATATTCTGCTGTAGATGATTTCCAAACTACAAGGGTGGCAGAAAAAAAGGTGTCATTACAGTGACAGTAGACTCAAAGCCAATTATATAAAGGATTTGCTGGGCCATTAATACCAAGAGGAATGTCTGGGTTCTAGATGTGAAATAGTTACTTACTTTGGAAATTTGGGAAACATTGAGGATTGTAAGTGAATCAAAAGACAGGTAAGAGAAGAAATGATGGTAATAAAACACTCAATTCATATATTTATTATATTATATTCAGCTTTTACAAAACCAAACAGGAGTCCCTTGCTCACCTGGCACAGTAAAGTCACGGACTGAAGTGAGAGTCGCAGTGGGAGAAAGAGGCATCTTAGTTCCAGGGCACCATACAAGAAGACAGTAGCAGCTAATGCTTAAGACCAGGAAGCACTGATGGTTTACAAGCCAGGATTTTTAGAAGTAAGGGCATATATTTCAGGCAGGCAAAATTAGAAATCAATACTTGAAGGTTATACATGGCGTGGCCTGAAAGGCCAGATACTATGAAAAGGGCTGGGGGATGGGAATAGCTGAATTCTGATTCCTAGATAATTGAAATGTTAAGATCCATGTGACAGTCTCTCCAGAAAATTTAGAGCAAAGAATGGTGGTCAGAGTTCAATTCCTCAGTTCTTCCTTATCTTTATTTTCCATCAGATGGGGGTTTCTGAAAAACAACTGGAGCATACAGGCAGGAGCAGTAACTTGTACAGGCAGGAGCAGAGTACCTGTAATACTCTGGGAGGCTGAGCTGGGAAGATCACTTGAGCTGAGGAGTCAGAGACCAGTCTAAGTGAGAACTAGACCCCATCTCTACTAAAGATAGAAAAGAAATTAGCTGGGCATGGTGGTGAGCGTCGTACAGTCCCAGCTACTCTGGTAGCTTGAGGAAGGAGGATCGCTTGAGCCCAGGAGTTTGAGGTTCCAGTGAGTTACATTCATGCCACTGCACTCTGCCAGGGTGACAGAGCAAGAATCTCTCAAAAAAAAAAAAAAAAAAATGAAGATGCCATATTTGTTTCCTTGAGGAAACAAGACATCTCATGACTGGCTCTTTGGAATGCCATTGTTCCCATTAGGTTGCCCATACACTTTTAAAGGCTTACCAGGTGCCAAGAACTTCCCTTCAGATCTTTTATTTCTGTGTTGAATGTGCCTAGCAGGCCTTAAAGAGGGGTCTCTGCTCCACATCACATGTGTTCTGTGCCAATCAAGATGAAAACAACTTTACCTTGAGAGAACTTTGCATTTATTAGGAAAGATGGATACACAAAATGTTAGAATTCAGATTAAGTGACTGGCATTTAATTCACATACTTAGGTATTAGCGAGAGATCTAGAAATCCTATGCTCTTGAGACTTCTTTTTTTTTTTTTTTCTTTTTTCTTTGAGACAGAATCTTACTATGTTGCCCTCAGTAGAGTGCCAAGTCTTCACAGCTCACAGCAACCTCAAATTCTTGGGCTTAAGTGATTCTCTTGCCTCAGCCTTCCAAATAGCTGGGACTACAGGTGCCCGCCACAATGCCCAGCTATTTTTTGGCTGTAGTTGTTGGGCAGGCCTGGGCTGGATTTGAACCTGCCAGCTCCAGTGTATGTGGAGCTATAAGGCACCGAGCCTTGTGACTGTTTATCAGCTATTTTAAACAAAACATTTTAAAACTTTGTATGGGAGTTTTTTGTTTAGAGTAAGCAGAAATCCTGTTATTTAAAGAGAAAGCCTCTACCAGTTTGTTGCATGTAATATATTTCTGGTTGAGTAGGGAAGTAAGTATCTTTTTTATTATTTATTTATTTATTTATTTATTTATTTTGAGACAGAATCTCACTATGTTGCCCTTGGTAGAATGCCTTGGTGTCACAGCTCACAGCAACCTCCAACTCTTGGCTTAAGCAATTCTCTTGCCTCAGCCTCCCAAGTAGCTGGGACTACAGGCTTCTGCCACAACAACTGGCCATTTTCTTGCTGTTGTAGTTGTCATTGTTTGGCAGTCCTGGGCCGGGTTTGAACCCACCAGTCTTGATGTATGTGGCTGGCGCCCTAGCCATGTCGAGCCAAGGGACATAAGTATCTTTTAGGTTGGTTTAGTAGTAGAAAGGGACAACATTGTTAATAGTGATAAGGAAAAGATCAAAATATTACATAAGATGAAGTTAAAGACGTAATAGTTGGCTCCATTTATCCTCTATTCTTATAAAATATAGAAAAAATAATTTAGAGAATTAATAGAAATGAAAATGTTTTGCTGAAATTAAAACAAACTCATGAAGTAGATAGAATATATTATTTTTCCATTCTTTGTTGAATTAGAAATTGCATTCACTTATTGAACAGGATCTAAGAGTGTTCCCAAATCCTGTGACTTCTACCAAAGGAGAATGATTGAGAGGTGAAGGCACCAAAAATGTTGCACAAGGAATTATTCTGTAAATATGTGAGCTACTAATAAGAACTAGGCATTTCCGGTTCTCTGACTGGAGATAAAACGGTGAACAAAATAGACTGAAAGACAAAAACAATCCTGGCTTCTTGGAGTTTATATTCTTTGAGAGGAGTCAGACAAAAATCGAAGTAAATGGTGTGTTGATCAAAAGTGTTATGGGAAAAAATGAGGAAAGGAGAAGAGTGGATTTCTGCTATGTTGTCTTGAATTGGTGTAGGTCAGAAACAGAAACTTTAGACTTTGCCACTCATCAGTTACATGTTTGGGGGTTAATTGCTTACCATGTTTGAATTTTCGCATTTATAAAATTAACAGATCAAAATAATAGCTATGTTTTTTCATAATTTATCATTAGCAGGCACTCCGTTATCTCATTTGCTTACAACCTTAGGAGGTAAATAACCTTGTCTCCACTTGACACATGAGCATCGTTTGAGGACATACTCCTAGTAGTGGCCAAGGCTGAGTTCCAAGTCTTGGTGTTTGCCATTGCCATTCACTACAGCCCCTCACGGTGTTGGTCCTATAGGTTAGGACCAGCAGTCTGAATTTCCAGTCATTTTAAGGGTCAGGGTGGTCAGACGTCTTGCAGAGATAGCTGCAATCCTGTCAGATGTCAACGTGAGACCTCCACGGTTCGGTGGTGCGCACTTAGCCACGCCCCTCGCCGGGGCGCTGGCAGACGTCCTGGCCGGAGAAGGTGAATGGTGTGGCGTTGGGGGAGGGGGACAGAGGACTACAAGTCCCAGCATCACACGGCCCCTTCCGGCGGAGGTGGTCGTCACGTGGGCGAGGACCGGGCCGAAGTTCGGCCGCGCGGCAGCGGGGTGTAGTCTGGGTTTGCGGAGTACCGCAAACACCCGCAAGTGTCCGCTGGTACTGACGGCTCTACGATTTAAAATCCTGCTAGAATTTGTAAGTAAACAAAACTGTACAACTTTTCCGTGT